TTTTTTTTTATTGACATGGACTGTCAGTAGGGGGGTTAATTGACAATGTATAGAATCGATTTGTGGCGCTTGGAGTTGTGGCTTGGCTCCCGTTGCGAATGGGAACCAGCCACTACCCCAGAACTGGAGCTTAGAGAACCACTGCCCCTGTTGGGCCCCACATTTTGCAGGCCAGTATCGGGCCGTAGGGCAATCTGTGAGCAGCTGACAGCCGCTTGGGACGGTTGCAAAAGAAAACCTGTGGCACCTGAGGATCGGGAACTCCAGCAACTCCACAGTCTCATAGAGAAGGGCTTAGATAAAACAGGCGGAGATGCAACTGGTGGTTTCAGGAGGCAGGTATGAGACTGCCTGGTGGCCTCAAGGCCACAAGCTAGGCGGATCGGCAGTGGGGTCCGATATTTAGTGGACAGGGCAAGCAGTTTGCAAGGTCGGGCATGTATATGCAGGAAAGGACATACGTACAGCATGTGCTTGTGCTTGCGAATGATCTTTCCCAAGCAACACTTTCATATGTTCTCTTCTTCTCTTCTCCTCTCTTCTCTCTTCTCTCTTCTCTCTTCTCTCTTCTCTGGTGTCGTGTTGTGTCATGTCGAGTTGTCACTGTTGTGGTGTGGTGTGGTGTGGTGTGGTGTATCTTGTATGGTCTGTCCTATCGTATCGTATTGCGTGGCACGGGTGGCGGGTACATCGCCAGGCAAATAAGGCAGGCAGGCAGCGTACTGGGCATCGAGAGAACACGGTGGGTGCGGGAGATGGCAGGCCAAGTTGGAGTGCACATGATGGACCCAGATGAAGTAAACAATATCTATCTCTGAATTACAAAGGCAACAAGTGCTCATTCGGCAGCAGCTTACCGTCAGCAACCTCCACAGGCAGCTGTTCAGCCATAGGAAGGCAGCAGCCTGGTCACAAGGTAAGAGCAAAGTGGACTACCACCGCTGCGCAGCGGTGGTACTCCGCTTTGCGGTTGGTTTTATGGTTCTCTCAGTGGCGAGGCGGAGTCACTAAACCATGCATGTCTGTCAGCAACAGTTGGGAGAACCACTAACACTGCTCACTTTCGAAGACAGGTGACACGGGGAGGCTAGTCCCACTGGCAGTGCTGTGGGAAAACTGCTCCTTCGAGGCACTACAAAGGTGATAGACACATCTTAAAGAGGATGGCTGCATACAGAATAAAGAGAAGCAAAGGAAAGAGCCGCAATAAACTGTGTGTGCATATCATGAGGAATATCCAGTCATGGGAAAGTGACAATTCACAGTACATTATAATACATATGCATGTTTGTGTGTGTGTGTGTGTGTGTGTGTGTGTGTGTGTGTGTGTGTGTGTGTGTG